ACACTGGCTACAGTTCCACCTAAAAACCTCCAGCTGTTCATTCTCCTATCATTTTGGTTTTGAAACGGTTAAATAAAGGTTGTGTGAACGTTTGCCATCCCGTCTGCAGCCTGAAGTGTTACAGCAGCATCAAACCATCACTAACCAACGCTTCCTGTCTCCTCAGCCTTCAGTTTGACCCCGCCCCCCGCCGCGGCGAGCCCCACGTGACCAGACGCACTCCCGACTACTTCCTGTGAATGTCCAAAGCCATCCCCGTCGATCATCCACGAAGCTCCACCGCCCGCCCCTCCTCCCCACCTCCACCCCCTCATTTTGGACGGAAAGAAGATATTAATAATAATAATGATAATACTGTACCAGGGAGAATAGACACAACCGATTGGCTGACGAATCCAAGATTTTAACGAGTAAAAGAGCGAAACTTAAAGAGCGGCCCCCTCTACAGTCGTGTTTTCAATATGCTGTCATTAATGCTGTGCTTCTGGGGAAAAACATGTACAACTATGAGCTGTTTTCTTTTTTTTGTGTTTATTACATGTTTGAAAACGATAAAATAAAACTACCAACGTGGACCAAATGTGCCATATTCTGATCCTTTTACAACATGTACAACGCGCAACTTTTCCTTTCCTTTATTCTGTTTATTTTTTTTTTGTTTGTTTTTTTTGTTTTTTTTTTTAAGACCAGCACTATAATCCTACCTACCTGACGTCGTCACCACCACACCACACATCTCATGGCATATGTGCTTTTTTCTGTTGCAAGATAATTTTAAAAAGAAAAGAAGAAAAAAAAGAGGAAAAAAAGTTTGCTTCAAGTAGTACAGCTGTCAGTTTTAGCTGTCCAGGCTGCAGCCGGTGGTCATCTCAGCAAGTATATTACTGTAATTTGAATAAAGACAACAGACGTATGAAATAAAATGTCCTATTGACAAACTACTGGGATGACTCTGTGTCGTTTCTTTAGCTCCACCTGAACTTCAGATTCATATACGTCCTGTTAAAGCAGGTGTGACCTCAAGAACATGATTTCTACACCAGAAATATGTTTTACAGCCTTTAATCAGGAAAGTTTGAGTTCACCTTAAGCTTTTTTTCTAACTGATCATGGCTTGTGACATTACAAACACTCTGGAAGCCAAATGCAGCAGATCCACATGGAGAAGAGCTGCAAGTTGGTTATGGGCAGTTAAACGTACTCCAAGTCCCATTTTTCAAACGTTTTAAGTCAGAAACAGATTTATTGCCAGGTTTAGCTGACGCAATATGAGGAATTTGTTCTGGTGGGTTGGTGCAACAGTAAATATAGAGTAAGGTGCAATGTACAAGATTTTTTAAAAAGCAGCTAAAAATAATAATAAAATGAACAAGTTAAATTACATATTTTTGGTAGAACAGACATTTTTATTTTATAATATAATATAAAATATAAATGGTACAAAAATGTTGCGGCTCAACTTAATCCACTCTGCATGACCCTTACCGGATTCCGTCCTTCATTGCAGCTATCGCGAGAGTTTACGGGAAGCGCCTCTCCGTCCATGTTAGATCGCTAGCTTCTTTGACGAAGGACCGCGGTTTTTTGTGAAACTGAAGGTCGGTATTTTCTGTTGTAGCATCTGTTCGGTTCGCTGTGAGCCTGTTTGCAGGAAATATAAACGTTTGTTCATCCGGGTTTTCTAGCTAGCTAGTTAGCTAGTTAGTTAGCTGCACTGAGCTACCGCCAGCTAGCTGACAGCAGTTAGCATAACAAGCTAAAAACATTAGCTGCTGGACTGGATTCTGTGACCTGTGGATTCTTCTTTATAAATAATTATTCGAACGACACCTTATGTTCGCAGTAGTATAAATGAGTGTCAAAGGATAAAGTGGCTGCTGTGACCGAGTACTAAAGGCTAGATATTGGTCTCCGTGTGGAGTTCCTGATCCGGCCACAGTGTGGTGGGTCTGAGCAGAGCTCAGCCTCCTGACGCCCACATCAGCTGCTTCAGTCCTTCAGCAGTACACGGGTCATGAAATCTCTTTTCTTTGACTTTATCAAACAGTTGCAGGATCCAAACTGAGCGCTGGCAGAAGCTGCGGACCGTCTCCTCTGAGTCCAGTCACCTCGTTAATTATTGACGTTTTGTAACGTGTCAGAAATGGCGTCTTGTGGCTTTTTTTAACCCACAGGCTCTGCTGAAGGAAACCTGCTGAGCTGCTGTGGACAGAACCACAGCTTCTGCAGTGACACCACCAGTCATGTTCAGGATGAGTCAGCTGAAGTCCAAATGTGGTTTCCTCCAGATAGTCACAGGATTTAAGTACCCAGTGGATGATTTCAGGGCGTTTCCAGTTTTTGCTGCCTAATTCAATGCAGTAATAATTGTTAAAGCGACATCCTGATAATCTGTCGTACATCTCTTGGTGCAATCCGGACACGTTCAGAATGATGAATACTCTGGACATTTAAAATATCATTTTTAATACATTTACTAGAACATACTCTACATGGACATTTTTCTACTGACGTAGTAGTAATCTGTGCAATATTAAGACATGACAATGTTGTCACTCATGAAAGAATCTGTGCAAAACCACTGCCATGTATGGAGCAGTGAGAGCGCCAAATTACAAAAATACATCAATAAAAGCATAATGAAATAAAAGTGGAAATGAAAAGAAGAATAAATAAAATAACTAATAAATAATGTGGCAATATTAATCAAAAATGGATCCATAAAAGAAAAGGCTAATAAGAGTAGAAATATATAGACAAATAAATAAAATAATAATTTTATATATATATATTACATTTATTTATTTTATTTTATTTTATTTTTTATTTTTTAAATAAAAAATGTTATTTTTATTGTAATTTTTTTAAATTAATTTTTTATAATGTCGCTTTTAAAGTGACAAAAAAAAGAAATAAAAATGAAAAAAATTATTAGAAATTTTAAAAACATTAAAAAACAATACAAAATAAAAATGTATTTAAAAAATATATATATATATTATTTTTATTATTTATTTGTTCCAAGTTCCAATGTTTCTCATAGCATTTTCACTTAATAGGATGTGACCAGAGTTTAACTGAGTGTCCTCACTGAGCTTAGATTATAAATAAATGTTGAGTGAATGAACCAAGAATAAAGTTAATGGAATGAATTTAATGTGTTACAAAAGGCAGACGTCGTCTCCTGTTTCAGAAACAACCTGAGAAAAGGTTAAAAACCTCTTTTTATTGTGTAGAGGATAAAATGTTCTTTTCATCGGGTTGATTCGAGTGTTTGAGGGTTTTTTAAAGTCCATTCAGAACGATACTGGTGCTGCTGCGAGGATGATTTCATGACTGGTCAACTGTTAAATCAGTCGCCAACTGTTTCATTAATGGTTATTCGGTCTAAATTCTGTGAATTCCTGGAAAGTATTTGGTTTATAACTCTATGATGTTACAGATAACAGAGTTTCAGGTCATTCAGAGATGGTCGAGCAGAAGGTTCTGGATGGTTTGAGATGGAGAAACTCGTCTTTATTTTTCTGAGTTACTGTTCAGCTGGACTGAAGTAAATGTGCTGTAACTGTAAAATCCATGTTTCCACAGGACCTCCGTCCGCCCGGCGCTGCCTGTCAGACTGCTGCATCATGGGAAGGACGATGATGAAGAAGAGGAGGAGGAGGAGGAGGAGGCTGCATTCTGTCCTCTGATCTCCATCTGGATGGAGGATGTGGTTCTTCACTATCAGCCCGGATCAGCAGCTGGACTCGAGTCTCTGTTGGAGACCACACAGAAGCTCCTGGAGCCTTTCCCCTGTCGGACTCCTCCGGTCTTCACCTGCTGGTTCCCCGCCGCCGCCGACCGCCGCCTCCCCATCAGACCTGCGAAGCCAGCTCCTGTCATCCCCTCCTCAGACGACCGACTCGCCTCCTCTCACAGCAAACCGACGGCAGCGACAAAAACTCAGCCACAGAACAACTCAGAGAACAGAAATGCTGCAGAGACTCGACATGAAAGTCCACGAAAGCGTGGCGTCTCAGAGACCCCAAACCAGATCTGTAGACCGCCAGCGGAGAAGCAGGCGAACAAGGACTCACCAGTCAGACGGTCCTGGAGCGTCTTCACGCAGAGAGAAGCTCTGCTGCAGAGCGCCGAGTCGATGTCCAAACGCTTCCGTCACGTGGTGTCGGTCCACAACCTGCACCTCCGCCAGAGGGCCAAGTGGGTGATCAGGGAGCAGAACTGTGGGCCGGCGAGAGACATCGAACAGGTCAGAGGTCACTGGAGCAGCTCACATGATCATTACCACCGTTTACAGCCGCTCACCTTTCATTCAGCATCCAGCAGACGGAGACGGGGAATGACGCGCAACACAAGACGTTCTGGTGGCGTCCAGCAGGCTAACATGCTAACATGCTAACAGGAGAATTCAATCAGCTACAGTCGG